AGCCTAAACTCGCTAAAGCTCAGCTTGTTTATAGCCCAAATCGTAATGCTAAGGAAATACTAACATTAATCTGTGTACGGACTCCGAACATAATATTTTCTCCTTATTCACATTGACTTTCTATCGAGCGGTTACCAATGCTTCCGATCATACTTTTTATTGCATCCATGTGAATTCACATCCAATGTTTTTATTAAATAATTTCACACATTTTATTCTAAAATATTAGATGAAAGACCAATCTTTTGTGCCCTAATTTTATTAAATTCTTTCATTGAATCCCATATTTTTTGCAAATGAATTGCTTGAATGATGATAAAAAATGCAATGAAGCCAAAATATAATGGAAGATTTATATTCATACCATTCAATTCCCATGTATTTACATATCTACCAACTAAAACTTCAATTTTTACATATCACCTTGCCCAAATATTTTGTGGTATAAATGTAAATACAAAGGCATTGGGTGGTATGCATGTAAATGCCCCAAATATATTCATAAAAAATCACAGACCATTTTGTTATAAAAGATGTTCAATTTGACTAATTTATCTCCTTAGATTCCTCTTCCAATATATATATATATATATATATATAATGCCTAAACTTTGATATTTACATGCAAATTACTCATAAAAAATACCACTATTACAAATGTTTAAAAGTGAAATACACATTTTTATTTGTAAATTTATAATACAAAAGTGTTATAAATATAAATACAAACTTTAAGTGTTACATATATAAGTACATAAGAATGGTGTGGTATATTTATAAATTTTCATGTATTTTTCCTAAAACACAAGCTACTTTACTAAGGAGGGCCAATTTAGGGCAGTTTATAAGTGCGGGCGATGTTTTGAAGACGCTGCCACACTGTTTGATTCGCATTTTCCGGGAACTTATCCAAAATGGCATTTTTAGAATTGTTAAACCCTAAACCTTAAAAAAAAAATTGAATCAGCCTATGGCTAGCTATAGCAAAGAGAAAAAAAAAAAATTGCATTAGAAGTAACCCTCGCATGAAGCTGGCATTTTTTGCTCGAAGGGCAAAGATTCATTCTCACCTTCTTAGACTTGCATTTAGGGGTGTAAATGAACCGAACACGAACGAACAGAGCTTGTGTTTGTGTTCGGTTCGTTTGAAATTTAGTTTGTTTGAAATAATCACGTGTTCGAAATTGTTCGTGAAGTTATTATTTGTGTTTGTTTCTTAACGTTTGAGCCAAACACAAGTTGTTCACGAATGACAAGCCAGTTTGACATCCCTGATATTCAAATATATATAAATATATATTATATTAATTATATAACTTATATTATATAAATATATAATATCTATATTAGTATACTTTTTGAGCTCGAAATATTATCTAGGCCCCTTAATTATTCTTTGTATAATATATTGTCTATAAAAATGTATTTTTTATTTATTTAAAAAAATATCTTAGAGAGTTTCCTATAGATTACTTTGTTTGAAATAATGAATGAAGGCTTGTAGAGCAACTATAGGCTTGGCTATGTTGTATGCGCTTTGATGGTTTGAGAGTTTGGATTGGAAAGCAAAGGGTGAAGTAGTAAGTCATAGGACAAAATTAATATGGAAGCAATTTAAAGGATAATTAGAGCATAAGAGATGGATCAAAACCAATATGAGTAGAAATCACATACTTTTATACGAAATAAGGTTTTCATTTAATACCATATGCCATATTTAACATAAATGGAAGGAAGAGAACATTTGAAGAAGTGACCAAGTGGTTTTTGTCCTTAGACTCCAAGAAAAGGAATGAAAGGAGTAGAAAAGAAGGATTTAGGAGAACGACCTTAAGTAGTTGGGACAATCTTAATGATAGTAATGATGCTTGGATTTTGAATGTTGTTCTACGTTCTAATTCAAATTTGTTCGAAAATGTTTCAAAAGGCTTCAACTTCAATAATTAGTCCAAGAAAATAAGAGATCATCCTTCATTAAAAGTAATTTCTTCACAGCATACTGCACAGTGTCAGAATCATCATTTATGCAGAAAAAGCTGCAAATCAGCTGTTTTTCTAACGCAGAAATCAAATAGCTAAACAGTTTATCCAAATTAAAGACTGAATTGTTATTTATCGCAAAACAACTGCAAATCAGATGTTTTTCAAACGTACAAACTAAACAGTCAGACAACTTATCAGGATAAGCTGATGATACACAGCTTGTCAGGATAAGTTGTTTATCAGCATAAGTTGGATAAGTTGCAGCTGCCCCAAACATACCCTAAAACTATGCTCTACATAAAGACCCAAGGCATATATAATCATCTGATAACCAAAACAAAGCTTTAAACTCAAAATTTCTAAAGCAAATATGCTCATCAAAATTGAATGACATCAACGAATTTACCATTTGACACAAATCTCAATGCATGACATGAATATCGAGAGATTTTTTTTAGCAAAAACATCCAAACTCAAATTAAAAATCACTTAGAACTCCAATTTCAATAAACTTATAGTTAAATTAACCACCTCGACGAGAAGAACCAAATGATACTAAAATTAGCCTAATTCGAGTCAAAATCTAACCTGGATTAAGTCGTTAAAACCACATTGAAAGCTTTGTGTGGCTAATTGAAAGGTTAAATAGATTCCAAATCTGACAAGTTTATAGTCAAATCAACCGTCTTAGTGGGACGAATACGATCCCAACATCACTCAATCCGAACATCATGACGACACTTAAATGTCCACAAAATGCCTTAAATCGTGAGAATATCTCTGGGCTGCCTCAAACTCTATAAATAAATTTCTACCCCTTTCATGAAAGGAGGAACCTAGAGCTGAACCTGCACCTAAAGGAGAAGAGAAGAGTTAATTTCCAGAGCTATTATTGATCAAAGACCCGAGGAAAATTTCCGAAAACTTCTTGCTCTCGCAACTGCTGACCATTGTCGAACACCACTACTTGGTCGCCACTTGCTTGTCTTCATTGGTGGACCCTGTAAGATAAAGAAGTATGATGCAACAATGTGTCCCGAAAACTGTGCAACGACATGCACCAAAGACATCACAACGACATTCCCTGAAGACAATGCAACGACGTGCCTCGAAGACGGTGCAACGACGTGCCTTAAAGATGGTGTAAAGACGTGCACCAAAGACACACAGAACTCCCCGCAATAACTGCTTACGACCATTGAACTCAGAATACGATAACCTTCTATGAACTCCTAAAGTTCTCTCTTCACAGCTCATCACTACGACATACGTGACCAACTATGACCTAAGTGGCTCACAGCTTCCAACTTCGGTCCCTGTGGCATACAGACACAACGATAACTCGCCGATATAGCCTAAGTGACAAAATATGACTTATGTGGCTCAAAATTCATGCAACTCTCAAGTTCAGACTATGTATACAATTAGCAATTGCGACATCTATGGACTACAAACGTTATCACAGCTCACCACTACGGCCTAAGTGGCCCAAAACTCATTCAGCTCCCAATTATGGCCTCTATGACATACAAATGTTATCACAACTCACTACTACGGCTTACGTGGCTCACAACTCATGTAACTCCCAACTTTGGGTCATTTAGCATACGAGCATCATTGTAGCTCACAACAACGGCCAACGCGAACAACTACAACATATGTAGCTGACAACTTATGAAGCTCCTCAAGCCTATGTGGCCTACAAATGTAACAACAGCTCATCACTACGACCCACATGATCAACTACGACCTACATGATTTACAGCTCACGCAACAGTTAACTCTGATATCTATGGCCTATAAATGTTATACAACTCACAACTACGACCAACGTGACAAACTATAACTTACGTAGCTCACAACTAATGCAACTCCCAACTGTGACATACAGACATTATCGCAATTCACCACTACGACCTACGTGATTCAGAGCTCATGCAACTCTTAACTTCAGTCTCCGTGGCCTATGAATGTTATTGCATCTCACCACTACGTCTCATGTGACCAATTATGACTCATCCGGTCCACAACTTATGTATATCCCAACTCAAACATCTGTGACATATGGAAGTTATCGCAGCTCACTACTTCATCTTATGTGACCAACTATGACATACGTGAACTACAACTCATGCAGACCCAAACTCTGACCTCTTTTGCATATAGATGTTATTGCAGCGCACCATTGCAACCTGGGTAGCTCACAACTCACACAGCTCTACCTCAAACCTCTGTGGCCAACAGATGCTCCTGAAACTGTCACTTACGACCTATGTAACCAACTACTACTACAACTTTCAACTATGAACTCCACGACAAGCTAGTACTACAACCACCGTCTATAACATTCACGTCAAACCACTACCTCCATAACAATTGACTTCGACTATTGCGAGGCCTGTTAGACTATTGTCACTAAAATACCGTCGTACATCAATTTCATAAGTTTAGCTTCCCAAATTCAGGAGAAGAGTGTGTCTGCGTACTCTTCATTACAAAATTAGTTATTTCGGCTGAGCCATACCCCCATTGTTGTTTACCTTTTCAAGATTTTTCACATAAAAATCATTGCCTCCTCTCGCTACTTTTATTTTACCTAAGTGTGTGTTGGATCTCGTACTATGCCAAGACACTGATTAATTAATTTACTGCAACGGATTTTCTGACATACGTCAAATATAAACATCAATTCTCTAGTCAATTTCTGTAAATAAAAAGACATGAGCAAAAAATTATAAAAAAAAGAAGATTTTCATGCATATCACTCCATTCTTATGTATTTTACATATCCAAAATCTAAACTTCAATTTTTACATACATTTACCCATCCATGAAAGGGTGCATTTCACATTTTAAAGATTAAAATGGCTGTATTTTTTATGTTTTATGATAGATTTGGGTGGCATAAATATAAAAAGTGAAATTTATGCGCTAGATAAGTAAATACATAAGAATGGGGTGGCATGTATGTAAATGGCCCAACATAAAATTAGCCACAACGAATATCAAACGAGGCATGATCAAAACCATAGAAGCTGGCATTTTTACACCATCAAAACATATATGTTTGAATTTATCTAAAAAAAGGTTCATTTATGGTTCTTCAAACAAAGCATAAACCAGAAGATTAGGGTTTAGTGAAATTAAAGTTTATCAAGAAGATAAAATGAGATGATCCACATAAAGAACATGACCTCTCAATTCTTCGCAGGTTCTTCGTTCTCGGGCTGGGGTTTCCACTGTGAGGGCACGAGGGCTTTCTTGATGGAGAGGGCGTGGATATGCGGCATCTGCTCCGCCAGCGCCGCGTTCACTAACCGGTGACGCTCCAGAAGCCTCTTCCCCTCGAATTTCTCCGATACTACCTCCACATCGAAGCTCGCACCACACCTTCACAAAATTTTCATTAAAATTGCAGAGAAAAGGTTCGATTGAGGAGAAGAAGAAAGGGGGAACTAGAAGAACAAGAAGAAGAAGGATTTTTACCCGCCTGATGTATCGATTACTTGCTGAAATGGAAGAAAAAGAAGATTAGGGTTTCAGCGGCGAAATCAAAACTTGAAGTGAAACGATATGCGATCGAGAGATTAGTCTTACGAGGTGAGAAGGGCTGAGAGATGAAGTGAGGGCGGCTTCTACGTCCCCTTTCGTCACACCCATCTCTCTCTCTCTCCCACTCTGTCTCTAGCTATAGCACCGGAAAGAATTCTATCTGATCCAATTTTCGCCGATCCTGTAACGCTATTTATAGAAATAGATCACGCAGAAGTGGTGGGTGAACCTATAGGATTTGGTTAGGGCAACATGAGCGGGCCCAGGCTTACTTCGTATTCAACTCGTTTGCTTAGCAGGCCGAGCATGCATTGTTCACGAAGAAAAAATTATTTTGATAACCCTAATCACGTAGTCATAAGATTTTAATGGTTGAGACAATATTTAAAAATTATTATTTATATTAAAACATCATTTAAATATAATTTAATAATTTTTATTCTATTTTTTTATTAATACTTTTAATTGAATATAAATCTTTTTTAGCTTAATTTTTTTAAAAAAATACTACTCATCGATATATATCAAGATAGATATATATAGATATGTATAGATATAATTTTCAAGTCAAAACGAGTCAAACACAAAAGATCAAATTTGTGTTTGTGCTTGGCTCGTTAACTTAGCAAACGAGCTGAACACGAGCTGGTCGCTAAGAACAAGCCTTTTTGACAGCCTAAGACAAAATATTTTCTCGAGCACTAAAGTTTGAAATTTGCTCTAATAATTTTTGTGCTTCTTATAAATTTGCTCATAATTCCTTATATTCGATTTCAAGCCGTAGTTGGATCGAAATTTCATCGAGTTTGATCTGGTTAAAAATCGAAACAAGTTTGCTCCAATTGAGCTATTTAAATCTGTTTCAGCTTACAATCGGATTGATTGGCTAAAAATTGAAACAAACCAAGTCGAATTGAGTTATTTGGATAAATTGTAGCATGAAATAGGCTTGAAATTAGCACGTGACACATTAGATTTAATTTTATTTAACATTTTATATACTTTTTTTATAAATAAAAAATATTACGAGTCAATTCGAGCCGAATCATACATGGCTCAAAACAAGCTCGAAAAATTTGATCGAAATTTTCAGCTCATAGCTCAACTCATTTACTGCGATCTAATCTCTCATTTACTTCGATCTAATCTCAATATGAGCCTTTACACTTTTGCCTTAGTTAAGTAAGTATAAAGAATGTTTAGCACTCTCTTTTAATAAGACTTTTAGTTAGCACAAGTTAGCATCATAATAAATCGTTAATTAAAATTTTAATCAACCATTTGAATATTGTTATCTTTATTTAATTATAATGAAGCATAAGCTTAAATTAAACTCTTCTCATAAGTACTAATAAATACTAAAACTAATTTAATTTAAGTTTTATAAATTCAACAGATTCAAATCTATCTGCACATGCATTACCTATGCATGAAAAAGGTCTCTCTCTATATTATGTAATGTAATGAATGTATGCATGCATGCATGCATGTGTATGTATGTATCTATGTATGTATGTATGTATATATATATATATATGTATGCATGCATGCAAATTGCCCAATGAACATGAAAATGAATAGATTACAAGAATCTGACCTCAAGATCAGATGACTCTCATATCAACAATGTCTAACATCAGTAATCAGCAAAAAAACATAAATTATAAGCATTTCTGTGAAATTTTTTACCTGAAGATCAATTACATAGAATCATACCTCTAATCTTCCTTAGGCCGTGTTTGGCAGCATTGTTTAAGTAGGATTTAAGCATGGATTTAAGGTAAATCCAACCAAACATAACGAAATGCAAATTAAATCCAACACTCGGTTAAATCAAAATTTCACGCATTTCATCTTTGTTTATCAGGTTTCGTCCTTAAATCCATGCGCAGGGCGGATTTAAGGATTTACTCTGTGTCGGGGGCAATCATCATCTCCGTCGCATAGGGTTTGATAAATCTAAATTTTTACGGGATTTGATAAATCCTAAATCCTAAGGTAGCCAAACACCGCCTTAGGGGATTTCAAATAGCTTGCATTTGGGAGAAAGCGATTCTGATAACCGATCCACGGATCGAGCTTCCATGCTTGCAGACCAGAGCCTCAGTCGCCTGCTCCTCGTTCTCGAAGAGAACCAGAGCTTGTCTCTTCCCGTTCGCCTCGATCAGCTTTGTGCTGACAACGGCGCCATGCTCCGCCAGGTGAGTGGAGATCTCATCCTCCGTGCTGTCGAGAGGGAATGCCGATATCTGCGTTGGAGCGCAACAATGGCGGTAGTTCTTCATCGTGTTGTTGTTGAATCGGTTGAGGTTGGATCTGGCGAACTCGCGGGTGTCGGGCGTGGGAGTGATGGTTGGATACTTTGAGGAAGTGAGTTCCAGCTTCTTGCCGAACAGCATTGCTCCCTGGGATTCAAATTAAATAAGATTTACATACATATCACTCCATTGATATGTCTTTACGTAATGCAACCTTGCCTATGATGACAAAGATGTATTTCACATTTAGAAGTTTAAAATGATGTTAGTTTATATGTGATATGAAAGATATGTGTAACATAAAAATGTAAAGTTTAAATGTTAGATGTGTGAAAACATAGGAATTGAGACCCATTAAATAAATATTATGTAAAAAAGTAAAGTTTAAATGCAAAAAAATGAAAAGCATGGTATGATAATTACATAAATTCAGTAAACATGAAATGCAAACAATCTGATTAAAATAATAAGGTTTTAGGAAGATTTACATGAATACCATGCATTTCTTAGGAATTTACATATTTAACACCTAAACTTCAGTTTTTACATATAACTGCCACTTACTAATGCATGTAAAGGTATAATTCATTTTTTTAAAAGTAAAATAGTGGTATTTTTTTATATGAAATGAAAGATGTGAGGTATAAATGTATAAATCAAAATTTAGATGTGAGATATGTAAATGACATAAGAATTGGGTGGTACGTATGTAAATGCCCCTAAGTTTTATTCTTCTATAAGAAAATTAAAAAATAAACAATCAAAACAAGTTAATTATTAACGGTAAAAATTCAATTTTTTTTCTTTCAAAATTAAATCTCTTTTTAGCCTTTGATTATTGCCCAACTATGCCATTTCTTCTAATCATTGTTTCACTCACAAATAACATGCATGCCTGCTATATTAGATGGGATTAATTACCTATAGACGACCCGAAAAATTGATATTTATAAATTTACCACCCATGTGATTTTTTGAACTACCGAACCAATGTATTTACTCGTCCCATGATCAAACTGTTGAGAATTTGATATAAAAATGAAAAATACGGGTTGCGGTTTTAACATGAATTTTGATATTTGCGTGAGAATTTGAAAATTTGATAAAAGAGGGTGGTTGATTCTTAAATACCAAGTTTTGGATGGTCTGTAGCACTGATGAAAATAAATAGTAAGTTTTATGGGCATTAGATTTGTTTTAAGATGAGTGCAATAAACTTACTTAGGATATTCTGACCAAAAAGTTCCCCAAAATAATAGAAAAATTGCATACATACCACACAATTCTTATGTATTTACATATCTAACACCAAAAGTTTGATAGCTACACTTATCACGCCTTAGTGTCATAAATATATGCATGAAGAGATGTACACTTCTAAAAAAAGACATCGATTGTGATATTTTCTATGTTATGTTAAAGATTAAAGTGGCATGCATGTCAATATAAATGTTTGTGTTTGATATGTCAAGACAGAAGAATTGTATGGTAAGTATGCAAATGCCACAAAAAATTATTACTAACAAATAGCTAAACAAGAAGAGGGTTAAGACAGCAGAACCTTCAAGAAGCGCAAAGCAAGCTCAGCCTGATTCCCATCAGCCATCTGTACAAGTGCATGGTCTGGTTTGCTTCTTAGAAGCTTAATTCTCACAATGTTTCCATACATGGAAAATAAATTAAAAAGCTTGTCCTCATCAATTTTCTGCAGCCATAATCCATCCAAAAAATTAAAGCAAATTTCAAATATATAACATAAAAATTAGGGAAATTTGCATACATAACACATAATTCTTATGTGTTTTACGTATCTAGCATCCAAAGCTCGATATTTACACTTATAACACATTGGTGTCATAAATCTATGCATGAAAAAGTGTATTTCACTTCTAAAAAGACAGTGATGGTGGTGGATTTGATGTAATATCAAGGATTTGTTTAGGTGATAGATATGTAAATAGGTAATAATTATGTGGTATTTATGTAAATGCTCCAAATTAAGGTTTAAGGACTCACCTCAGGGTTTAAGTTGGTTAATAAGATGGTACTATGTTCATTAACACCGCTCATTCCAGGGAGCAAAACTCCACCAAAAGCAGCTGCAATTGCTGTGCCATTACCCATCTAAGAAACAATTTCAGGTTTCTCAAAATATATTTTACAAGGAAAATGCAGCGAACAACTTCAAATATATGTGATATGAAATTTAATAGGAAAATTTATGATGCGGAATAGCAAGATGCAACTCGAGAGAGGGACGAAGCTGCCGATGATGGAATCCAATCAATCGAGGCTAGGCCACATCGATCTTACCGGGGACGGACTATTCCTACGTGAATGGAAGACTACTACAAGGACAAAGGGAACTAATGGGTAAATATGTGGGTGATGAGGCTAATCTACACATATTAAATAAGCTATGTAACTAATTGGAATTCTTATTTGCTTGGCTGGTTAGGTTGTTAGAAATATAGTAGTGGAAGAATGTGTCGGGGGAGTATAGATAACAAGTTGAAGAAGTGCTAATAGTAGATGGCAGAAAAAAATTATTAGTTTTTCCCCTTCTTCTCCCTCTGCAACTTCTTCAACCTCTCCGCTTCTAGCTCTTTTCCTTCTCCTTTCTCAAGGCCCTTTCGTCTAATTGCTTCTTTTATCTTCAGCTAATCTGTTCTGTTTCATGTCTCAAGCGGAAATCGGCCTTGTTTCAAGGGATCGACGGCAGGAAAGTCTCCCAGAGGTATTATCCTTGGTGCTCTCATTGAGAGGGTTGCCCGTCCATAATGGCCGACAACAACCATCAGACAACAACACCACTGGATCAACAAATGATGCATCGTTCAACCTATCTGAGATTGTGGATATTCATAGAGAAGTGCAGCTCCGTTTAACCTTACTCGACGCCAGGCGAGATCAAGAAAGTAAAACATCCACACCAATTGCACCTCAACTCACAAAACCTACTTCCGGCATGACAGATGTTATGGGCAGCACTCCTTTCAAGACAATGAGAATAGCAATTCCCCGATATTCCGGTGGAAAACCGAAGATGTGGATTTAGAAGATTGAACAATACTACATGAATTTCACCGATTGACAGATGCGGATAAACTGACTTTGACTGCCTTTCATATGGACGTGCCTGCTGAAGTATGGTATTTATGGCTGACCAAGACTAAGCACTTAAATATATAATTCAATCTGAGTTTTTGTTCTACAAAATAACAAAGGAGTTTTTACATATAGAGGTCCTCAAACCATACAATTTACAAGTAAAGTATCCTGAATATTTAATTTACTTGCGAGGAACTCTGTCACGAGTCCGTCTTCTCCTTTTCCGGCGTTGTCTCCAGATCTAGTAATTTCGGCTTTTCCGACATGACTCAATCAGGGGTTTTCACGTATAGAGGTCCTCAAACCATGTAATTTACAGGGGAAGGCTTTCAAATATTTAATTTACTCGCGAAGGACTCCGTCACGAGTCCGTCCTCACCTTCTCCAATCTCATCACTGGATCAGGTGATTTTGGCTTCACCGACTGTGACTAAACACTTCCTCTAAACTTCTCACGTTGTCCTGGTTGTTAGATCTCCCAAAACCTTGAGATAGAAAGACGGAGAAAAAAGGTTCTTTGGCGTAGGTTTCCATGAAAGTAGGTGAAAACTACAAGTTTGACGCTTTCCATATCTCCACAGCCAAGCTACATCAATGGGCCAAAGCCTCACAAACCAAATGGATCTCGTCATCCTTCTTATTCTTCTCCTCCAGGTCTCTCGTCAACATCATTTTCTTCTCCCGCCTCTATATTTTCTACATCCTCACCGCTCCGCTTTCTCCTCCTCCTGCTCCAACAGTCAAATCTCCATCTCCGATTCCGACAATCTCGACCCCTTAATCTGTCACTCCTCATCCTCCTCCTCAGTCACCACCGGAGAAGACAGAGAAGGAGAAGACAGAGTTGTGAGGAGCCGTGATGGAGTCCTTTGCGAGTAAACTAAATGTTTGGGAGGCTTTACTTGTAAATTGCATGATTTGAGGACCTCAATATGTAAAAACCCCAATAACAAAATACCAAATTTCCTAGTAATTGCACATGGGAAGAAAAATGCAAGTGGCCTATTTATTTGGTTATTACAGTACATAAATATTAATCACAAAATTGAAAAATTTACATACATACCACCCAAGTCTTATGCATTAACATCTTTATAACACCTAAACTTAAGTTATTACATATAGGCCAAAATCCCTATGCATAAAAATGTGTATTTCACTGTTTAAACGTCAAAATGAAAGTGTTTTTGATGTGAAGTAAAGGATTTGGGTGGTATGTATGTAAATGCTCCAAAATTAAAAATAAAATCACAATTTTTCTGCCTCCCGTCCCAAAAAAAAAAAAAAAAATAACAATT